GGGGGGGGGGGGGGGGGGAAGAGAGAGAGACAAAGGTAGAACGGAAGCGACTAGGAATTCATCCCCAAAGCCCAAACCCACCCTGAATCCCAAACCCCTCCCCCTCGCTCTGCTGCTCCCACCGGCAGGCAGCGGCGGCGGGGCCGCGGCCACCGCGTCCACCCCCCAGGCCGGGCGGCCCTCCCAGCTCACCGTGGCGAAGGAAGCGCTCCTCGTGCAGCACGGCCACGGCATTGACGATGAGGAGGGAGGCCTGCAACAGCGAGTAGAGCGTGAACGCCATGGCCCAGCGGGGCGGGACCGGGAGCGGCACCGGGAGCAAGATCGGGAGCGGCGCCCGAGAGAGACGTGGCGGGGCTGGGGGCGGAGCCTCTCCTCACGGGTCGTGAGGGGGCGGGGCGTGCTGGGGCGGAGCCATCCTATGGGCTAGGGGCGGGGCTTTTAATGGGGGCAGGCCTATCAGCTGCGACAGCGCGTTAGGTGTGCACGGAGGGGGCGGGGCTTCGCGGGGCGGGGCAAATTCGGGGCGTGGCTTGGGGCTCCGGGGCACTTGGGGCGTGGCTTTTTGGGGGCGTGGCCTCTCTGCAGCGCCGTTCCCGCCCCCGAAGGGCGGGGACTGGCAGGGGGCTGGCCCTGGTGGGCGTGGCCTTCTGCTGCCGGCAGCCGTGCTCCACTCTGGGTTTGCCCGCGGATCCCTCGGGACCCCGAATCCCTCGGAGCCCCTCGGGTCCGGCGGAACCCTGTGGATCCCTCGAGCCCGTGGATCTCGCAGAGCCCCGTGGATCCCTCGGTGCCCCTGGGAATCCTTGGAGTCTCCTGGGTCCTTTGGAGTTATGGATCCCTCTGGTCAATGGATCACTTGGATGCCTGTGGATCCCTCGACTCCGTGGGTCCCTCGGAACCCCGCGGGTCCCATGGAGCCCCTTGGGTCCATTGGATCCGTGGATGCCTCACGCTCGTGGGTACTTTGGAGCCCCGTGGAGCCCTCGAATCCGTGGGTCCCTCAGAGCCCTGTGGGACCCTCGGAGCTCATTGGGTCTGTGGATGCCTCAGGTTCATGGATCCCTCGGAGCCCTGTGGTTCCATCAGAACCCCTTGGGTCCGTCGGATCCGTCAATTCCTTCAATCCATGGATCCCTTGGAACCCTGTGGATCCTTCGGGTCCATTGGTCGTTCAGAGACCTTTGGATCCCTTGGGTCCATTGATCCGTCAAAGCATCTTGGGTTCACTGGGTCCATGGTTCCCTTGTGTCCATGGAGCCCGTGGAGCCCTGTGGATCCCTCGGGTCCATGGATCCCTCGGATCCCCATGGGTTCCTAGGAGCCCAGTGGGTCCGCTGGATCCATGGGTCCCTCGGGTCCATGGATCCCTTGGAACCCCGTGGTTTTCTCAGGTCCGTGGGTCCTTCGGAGCCCCGTGGATTTCTCAAGTCCGTGGATCTCTCGGAGCCCCATGGACCTCACAGCGTAGGCTGTGACATGGGAAGCTCCGCTCGCCATGTAGCAAGTGCCCTTTGGATTCAGAGCGGGAGTAAGGCTCATCCTCATCATCCTCCGTCGGTATCGTGGCGTCTCCCGGTGGTGGGAGCTGGCAGTGAGACATCGTCCGGTGTGGGGCAGCCCCCTTTGGCCATCCATCATCAGCAATCCAGTGCTAGTAGAATTAATAAAACACCATAAACACTGCATATGCAAAAATACATGAGCTTATACTGATATTAAGTCTTATGTACACCGGGGTTTTTCTATGTGTTTTCTCAATACACTGGTTTTCCTTCTATCCTGACTGAGGTTTCTAGCCAAAAGTCAGCCCATATCCCAGATGCTGTTTGTCCAACATGTAGTGCTGCAGAACCCAAAGCAGAACCCAAAAGAAAACAATTACCTTTAACACTGGATTGATCAGGGCTTCTGGGTGGTTCTGCAGTCAAACAACAAAAATAATCACAACTGGAGCTCAGGGATACTGTATCCCTGTTTTAGCTACTGTAGTTATATAGTTATCCCTGTATTGTAGTTACACAGTTATCCCAGTGTAGTTCTTGATGCACCAGTAGACATTTTTTTTCCCTTTTTCTCTTTCAGTCCAATGGGCTGAAAAGGGTGATTTGCATAACCCCCGTGATTTTATTTCCCAGTAATCACACAGTACACAAGCCCCTTAACTCCGGATGGTTGGTAGCTTTTATTACTCAGCCAGGGCACAATGATTTGCATAATCACTGTGTGGTTATGGTTATTAGACCCATCCTCTCCAACAGAGGAGATAACTTTGTGCTCAGTGTGGTGGACTGGAGAGACCCCATCTCGACTCCCAGCCCTGCCACAGACTTCTGACACAACCTGGACAAATTATTCACCATTTACAAATATTGTGTCTCTGCACTCTGTGTGAAGATCCCCTCACCAGCAAGTGATGATCTGATACTCCGATTATTGTCAGGTATATATAATCAATAGACGCTCAGACACCATATGAATCAGCTGTGAAGAAACCCCACACCTCAGCTTCTTCTTGTGTTCATCTTTCCTTTCCAAAACACCCACTTTGGTACAGTCAGTGTCACACTATTGTGTATCTTAATAATCATTACTGTTAAATAACATTACATTTTAATAATAGAATAAAGATAAAGCACCCCATCATCAGAACCACAGCATATTTTCTTTATAGTTTACTCCCAAAATTGCTGTTATTAAACAAGGGAGATAGAGAATCAAGCATATTCATCAGAGTTCTGTCATCTGGTTAAAAGCATTGTCATTTCAGCCTCAAAAAGGAATACAGTTTCAATTCAAGGTAGTGACTAAAACATCTATTTCAGTTCCAGTAAGCTCAGTATTTTTGAAGCCTGTACTGAAGTGTTTACTTACACGAAAACTCATTGTTCTTCCCAAATGCTGGCTCTGGTTCTGAAAACTCTTATGTGTATGATTAACTTTGTAAGTCAGCAGTTAGTGGGAACACTCAAGTGTAGTGGCACAGGAGAACACACACTTGCAGGCCCAGGAGTTCTAACACAGCTTCTTTATTTCTCATCTAGGTTTTTAAATTTTCTGACTGCAAGACTCCTAAAACCCACTATTTTAACATTTAAAATGGTGCCATTTCTAGTTGCCCAGAGCTCCCCACCCCCAAAATTTGTTATCCCTGTTAACCCAAAATTTGGGGGTGGGGTGTGTTATAATTCAAATAATCTTTTTCCATCTGTAAATAACAAAAAAAAGAGGCTTGTCTTGAGTTTGCCAAACTCCGTACAGGCAGAGAAAGTGTTGGCCTGAAGAATTTCATCCCGAAGGTCACTACTAATTTTTAAGAAGTTCTGAGTGGTGACATATGATGGTCTCACAGACAGAGCTGTCTTTTGTCCTCACACAAAACTTAGGGCATTCTGGCAGTGATGCTATAATTAAATACAGATGAATATGGGGGTCACTAATATAGACATCTAATAACCACCATTATCAAGTAGCATTTCCTGGGCTACCTCCTTACAGTATCCAACCCATAAATAAATAAATGCAAACCTCAGTGAAGAGTTAATGCTTAGAGTTACGACCCTGGAAAAAAAACCCTTAGGTTTTTGCAATAAGTATACAAGTTATGGCTTAGTATTTTTACCCATAATTAAGATGTATTTCCAAGGAACAGCTGCCATCAAGCTGACATAAACTTGACATGATTTTCCCCTTAGTGAAATCCATCATGGCAACTTAGCAACCACACAAGTCTTACCTCTGAATCACATTACGTGGTTGAAGGGAAAACCAGATAAAGTTGCTTGCACTAGAAGGAAAGGGGCTTTTTTTTTAGCTTCATTAAGGTGTTGTGTTTCAGCAAAGTAAATTCCCCTGGTGTCATCTGCAGGGTGCAGTCTATCACCATAAAGGGGAGTTTTAAACCACCTTACAGATTGTCAAAAGATTAAACTTCAGGCTGGTGAAGTATTGTGAAGGCACTGGTGTTTTTTACTCTCCGTTTCTCATTCAGTGTTTTCAGAGCACATCTCTCTGGGTCTCACTGTTCCCTACACTTAATGAGAACCAAGCTTCTTGCATGGGAGGCTTCAAGGTCAATTGAGTTTAATCCTGATGAGAAAATACCAGGACAAAGGAGGCTGTTATGACTCTATACCCTTCACCTTGCTTGCCACCACCATACTCTGACTTTATTTTCTGAACTAGCTTTAACCATTTCCTTCTTTAGACATTGTACATAACCAGATATACAATTATCAGTAAGGAAATTTTGAGGACACAGAAAAGTCTGGAAACTGGGGCCAACAATCCCAAACTGGGAGGAAAGAAATGCATTTTGTTGGTGGCAGCTTTTTTACCGACTCCTACCATAAGTAATTTTGTTAACTGAAAATCTCTGCATATGTGAAAAAGATCAGGTTCTGTGTCTCAGCCAGGTGCTATAAATAAATCTAATAGCTAAATTTCATAGTTAGACTAAAGCCTTTGTCATCCCTTACTCATCACACCTATAGCACTGTCGAAGAGCTGTAAAGTTAATGGTGCATCCAACTGATGTAACACTTCCCTGGTAAGCACAAATTGAGTGACTGGTTTAATGTCACTCAATGGGGTTTTTTTAAACCATCAAAGCTGGGAATGCAGTAGGATTTTGTACATTTGGGAGAATGTGTGTCTGGTCCCTACCTGTCAGCAGCTGCGTACAGAAAAGAGCCTTGCCTTGTCCGTGACTCATGGGTCACCTCTGTCCTTGCTTATTTGAGAAAGGAACAGCTACCCCTCCAAAAACACAGCCTGACAGCCTCCCTGAGACTTGAGAATACAAGAATAGGGCTTCATACACAAAAAGACTGCCTGGGGACTGAGGAACAAAGTGAAAAACCACACACAATTTTGGATTTACACCTAAATTTAGCAATGCTGTTTTCCTAAATTACTTGACTCTGTAACCATAACAGCCTTTAAAAGTCATTTTGTTGCCTGGTTCTCTCTCTCTCACAGACACAGAAACAGACACAGACACACATGCTGTTGGTCATCTTGCTACCACCAAGAGCACGGAATTGTCATAGAATCAGGGAATGGTTTGAGCTGGAGGGGAGGTTAAAGATCATCTCTGTGACTTGACATTGTTCTATTATTATTGGCGCTGTTTGTGTTGCGTTTGCACTGGAATACACCAGTCCAGAACCAAATCCTGTCATGCTCAGTGCCGTGCAGATGTTTTTCAGAGGAAGGCACAGGGATTTTCCAATCCATGTCTCAGCCAGAAGACCGTGGATATCAAAAGCAGGCCAACGTGGGGAGTGGGGCAGCAAGGAAACAAATGGATTTTTTCAGGGAATTACCAGTCACTGCTTAGCCCTGCCTCAGTGCT